GGAACAGGGCACAGAAGAGAGAGATGAAAGTGAGGAAAGAGAGGAGAATGAAGAAAGAGAGGACAGAGAGGTGGTGTTGGAGACAGACCCATCATGCAGGTCAGCTGGGCTAAGAGGACCTTCAGAGGGCTGACTCTGGCCACAGAGGGAGGGCAGGGACAGCGCCGCAGGAGCAATGTCATCACAGCGCCTTAGATCATGTGACACATCTGTCAATGGGTCATGTGATTCTTAAAAAAAAAGAGGCAGAGACAAAGATCTTTAAAGTAAAATTTTTCCTGGTGAACATCTGTAAATATATTTATATATAGATATAAAGAAGAGTATATTACACTGAAATCAATGAGATTTTTAAACAATGTGCAGATAATAATAGTTAAAATACAATAAGTTTCAGTTCCATAAAATGCTGCATTTTATATGTGCATGGGAACGCCTACCATTTTCACTAGCATCTCTTGGGCAGGGGCTGCGATCTGCCCCTGAGAATCGGGACTCCTGTAGAACATCCATCAATCTGAACTGAATCTCACTCTCACTAACATAATTACAACTGTCCAGCCTGTAGAAACACACAGAGAGACACAGTAAAAGAGGAAGCCAAAATCTTTAGAAATTTGTCAGCACTGAAGACCATTTAAAAACCTTGCAAAAAATCTGACAGATAAACTGATAATGATTTTTATTCATTTAGCAGATGCTTTATCGAAAATGACTAACAAAAAAAGAAATATCTCAAGCAGTTTCTCATTGGTGCCAAAATTATTTGCAGTACACAGTGGTCAGACTAGTACACAACCTCAGAAGTGGAATCAGAAAAAATGAGAAAGAGATAAGACGATTTTTAAAAAATTCTGAAAACAGTCATTTAATAGAAAGAGAACCTAGAATATTTTCATAAAGGTATTTTATAGGGATGCACCGATATGAAAATTTTGGCCGATACCGATAACCGATTATTCTTTATTTTTGAAAGCCGATAACCGATATGTTGGCCGATGTTCCATAGAAGAATGTAAGTCATACAGGCATACAGAAGTTTTAGAAGGTTTCGACATGTTGGTGAAATGAATAAAAATTTCTGGGTGAACTATTCTTTTGATTATCAGCAGCTAAAATGATGAAGAATGACTGTTGAGAATTTACTTGATCAGAAAAAAACTGAAAAGAAAAACATCAGTATTTTCAGTTTAAATTCCCACAATTTAAAGAGAATGTATTTATTCATCACGCTAACTGCGAGTTACAAATCAGAATTCTCTCTCTAGGACTTCCTCGATTTGTGTCCCGTTTTCACTTTCTGTCTCTCTCTTACTTTCCAGTATTACAGGGAGTTGTATTGTTTTACATCATTCTGTCCTCTGATTGCCCTTCACTGTGAAGTACAACTCTTGAGGATGTGAAAGAAATAAAAGAGCTTTATAACAGCAGAGATGAGAAAAGAAAGTGCACTCTCTTTTGCCTCAGGCTGTGTGTGCATGTGTCAGAATAGTGTGCCATACATGCAAGCAAAAAGACATGCAGTTTTTTATTTAAAAAATAAATAAATAAACATGACAACACTGCATATGCTGTGGGGAGAAATGTTGATCTCTAGTACACTGTTTGAAGTGTTCCCACGATGTGAATTTACAGAGGATTTCAGAACTGACCTACTGAAGATTTATGAATTACACAAGTATCGAAACTGTTGAGTGGGCATTATATGCATTTCAGTGCCCATGTTTGCTGCACCAGTTATTATTTTTCTATGTACACTTCAAATATAGAGGTTATTTACAATAAATCACATTTCAATATCGCTTGCTTGGAATTCCATATGAAAATGCAGTGGTAAGGTGCAAAATTTTATTCAAAGGTCATGTTTGTTATTTTCATTGTTCAACAAACATAACTAATTCAATGTATTAATCAAAAGTCATTCAAAAATGTCATCCCTTTTCAGGTGATAATACCTTTATTTTCCTATAAAATATCTGACTGACTATACTTTCAAATCCATTATGTTTATGGTCTAACTATTTCAATAACTGTTTGTCTAAATTTGTCTTACTTAAAAAAATATACACAGCACAATCCACAATAAATATTTGCATTCTCTGGATAATTTCAGAATATCATCCGTGTTTAGACCACAGGCAAAGCAAGAGAAAATTCCATAACACCCTTTTCAACAACAACACACTGTTACACACTAAAAACATTTTCTGGCATGCACCGTTTCCAGATCTGGAAATGGCTATATAATAATAATCTAGGATTTGCTCCTTCCAAACCAGCAACAGTATGAGAAAAAGCCTAGGGCTGTTCTGAGAACATCATGGCTGGGCTCATTCTTGCCAGCTTTGCAGACAGAGAGATAGAGAACAGGGCAGTGGCACTGTCTGCAAACTGCTTTTATTAAAAACGAAATTAATATTTATTCAGCTTCAACATCCACCCAAGAGACAGACAATGGAATTACAGAAGAGAGAGAGAAGTGGAGAGCTAGAGAGAAAGACGCATAAAGAGAGAGAGAGAGAGAAGAAGCTGAATCCATGCCGGTGTGAGTTTGTTTGATCTTTTTCAGAGATCAATAAATCTGATGCAATCTGTCAGTCAAGCAACCAAAATATCATCAATTTATGTCACAGAGAGCATTACTACGCTGACTGACTACTTAACGTAGGGTTTAAACACTGACTGCAAGTCTGCTTCTGTGTGGAAAACACTCTGATTGATGCTTTTCGTCAGTTGATTGATTGTGGTATTGCTTTTGGTGGTTCAAGCTGTGCACGAGAGAACTTTAGTTCTGTTATAGCCCTATACATGCACGTTGCAGCTTGACAGCATCACAGAAACTTCCATAACCTCTTCCCAGGACGGCTGTCCGGTGACTGACAGGTCCTCCGTGCTCTTAACACGACCATATCAAGAGGCCTGAAAGACGAGCGCGCTTTCAGCATCTCGGATAGCCCAGAGAATTTACATTATTCAGAGAGACGTAACAGGTTTGAGTCCACCCTTGATTATTGAAGGCCTGCATGGTGCGCTATGATACGCGCTCTGCTATTCTGCATCGCCAAATGCCGCATCGGTCGCAGGCGCGGAGGCGCAAGCAAGACGCGGGGGAAATGAAAACGCGTAAATATAGACGAAGGGGTTCGTGTTACATAGCTGTCTGTGAACGAGTGCGTATGTAGCTGTAGCTGTAGCTGTGGCCTTGGCTTGGGGGGGGGGGGGTGCCTCACGTATTCGTCATGAGCACCAATGCTTTCTGTCCCTCGAACGATGGCCTGCGAGCTGCGACTCATAGAGCCGTCCCTCCGCGTCTTCTCCCTCACTAACACACCTGTGCAATATGGACGCATCATGACAGCTGGCACTCGCTCCACCATTTCTCCCCATTGCAGCGTTTGACGCGCGTCACACTGGCCCACTCACCGCATCACGCACGCAAAGACGCGCGTCCCGCACACTCACCTCCCGTTACACCCGTCCCGCCCGCTCTTAAGACTCCGTTTGATCGCTCGGCGTGCAGAATGTTGTCATACGTTGTTGCTGTTTTTTCGTAACCCCCTTCAATGCAGCGGCCTCAGCATGTTCGCCCTCTCTGACTGCCTCCCGGTAGCAGCAGGTGGACGCGCCTCTCGCGCCTCGGAGCCCCTTACCACTCCATTTTATTCCCTCGCGCTCCAGGGTTTCCAGGAAACAAACAAAGGTCTGCTGCAGCGCCTGCTCCTCGCCGCATGCTCGCGCTCCGCTCTCTCCTCCTTTAGAGTCGCTTTTGTTTTTGCTTTATGTACGTGCGTAACGGAGACGGGGGTGTGCGTGCGTGCGGATGTGTTTTTCCCAGCTGTACCCCGTCCGTCCCTGACAACGACGGCGCGCTCGTGCGCTGCTGCTCCCCCTCTTCTGAGACCTACCATAAAGAGCGCGCCCCCATATTTTGCACCGCGGCGCGCTGAGGAGTCGGGAGCGCGCGGCACTGCTGAACAGGTGCAGAGGCGCACGCATGCGCACTGATGCTTCACAAGCTCCAAGCACCAGCTAGGGGTCTCTGCAGACTTAATTTGTTTCCCATAGACAAACTGGTATTACATACGAAGTTACTAACTAAAGAAATGAATAAAGCGAGGGAATTTTAAATCCATAATTCTGAAAAATCATTGAAAATCAAAGCAATCTTTGTTTATTACACTGCTATTACATACGCAGTTACTTAACAAACAAATAAATAAGCGAGAGAATTTGAAAGCAATTTAGAAATGTAGAAAACCCCATCATATTAGATTAAATAACCTTTGTTCTATATAGTTATTTTATTTTATTTTTTGTATGTTTGACGTACGTAAATATCTATTGGAATTGTATGACACACATAGCCTATGTGACCCTGGACCACAAAACCAACCATAAGGGTCAATTTTTTTAAAATTGAGATGTATACATCATATGAAAGAAGAATAAATCAGCTCTCAATTGATGTATGGTTTGTTAGGATAGGGCAATATTTGGCCGAGATACAACTATTTGAAAATCTGGAATCTGAGGGTGCAAAAAATATATAAATATTGAGAAAATCGCCTTTAAAGTTGTCCAAATGATGTTCTTACTAATCAAAAATTAAGTTTTTTATATATTCACGGTAGGAAATGTACAAAATATCTTCATGGAACATGATCTTTACTCAATATGTTAATGATTTTTGGCATAAAAGAAAAATCGATCATTTTGACCCACAATACTTATGACTGGTTTTGTGGTCCAGGGTCACATATACTAATCATTTACTGTTTGCACTAGTATTTAATGGTGTGTCGAATCATCGTCCTGTAAGATCATTATTTATGATAGCATTTGTTATTTTTAACCCTGTAATTACCCTTATTATATCATGATGTATTAAAAACACAATTCACTGCTCACCAGTCACTTGTGCAGCAGCGCCTCTGTCCCGCCCCTTACGTCTATGAGATTTAGACTGGCACGATTTCTATCCAATCAGGTGAACAGGGGATATGACGTCAGGTTGTTGGTCCCCGGGAGTGTGCGTCGTGCATCATGCGTCTCCTCCGCTCAACATGGCGAGATAGTGGTACAGATTCCCATCATCCGTGGAACAGCCATCGTTTAAGTGGACCAGGTGGTTTGGTGTAGTGTTTTCTTTTTATGGTTTTAGTCCTATGGAAACGTATCTTATCGAGAAGATGCCGTGCCATAACCAGCAGCTGAATAACAGCGAGAGCCCCGAACACGCCGCGAAGCACGTCCGCTTCGCCCGCAGCAGCCCTGCAGCCGAGACCTGCCAAGACGACCCGTGCGAAAACCCAACCACGAGCGACATCCAACGACAAATAGGACCTCAGCTGAAGCTCTTGCCATTAAATGACCAAATACGAGAACTTCAGACAATCATTCGGGACAAGTGAGTGTCCAGTCTGCTTTTAAACCGGATCTGCATTGCATGCACATTGCGTGTCCCATATTTAGGCCAGCTCTGTATCATATGCACACATACCACAGCATGTGTGCAAGAACATAAACCCCTAGCTTATCAGAATGTATCTAAAATGTACACGGAATAAACTGGGATATAGTCTCGTGTCATTTTGTTGCACGTAGATGCATCATATATTGCAACAGTTTTCATAATAAATTGTGCGCAGACACACAAGGAATTTGTTTTTTTAAGTACGACTTTACAGTAACTAATAATAATGTGTATAAATCTGGAACATAAGATTTATGCATTTACTCTATATACAGCTGTATAAATAAAGAGAGATGCATATGTATTTACATTGTACTTCAATTGCAGACCACATGTAATAATTTTCCTCTTTCTGTTTCACTCAGAACTACTAGTAGAGGTGATTTTGTCTTCTGTGCTGATAGATTGGTAAGCATAACCAGAAAGTTTGGGGTGTGGATTTTTTCTCACCAAGGCTGCACTTGGTTACAAAAATACAGTAAAACAAGCAATATTTTGAAGTTAAAATAACCGTTTTATTTTAATATATTTTACAAAGTAATTTGTTACGGTGATGGAAAAGCTGAATGTAGCAGCTCCAGTCTTCAGTGTCACAAGAAACATTTATCATTATCGGTGTTGCTAAATACAGCACTTATTTGAAATATATTTCTTTTTTGTATTATAAATGTCTTTGCTGTCACTTTAATTTTATGCGATTTAATGCAAGTTTGAAGATGAAGTATTAATTTATTTTTATATAAAGTCTATTATTCGTGTACAGGTGCACGGTCCATTGTTCAGGAGTTTCCTGACATCACTATACTGACAACTGAAGTTCATGCTGTCGCTCCGACACACTTCGGCCAAAGGTATTTCGGCACAGACTGACAACCCACCAATAGCACACACGTTCACTTGGATTCAGCTGAAGCTGCTTGTGTTTTTTGTTTTGTTTTATCCATCTGATAAAGCCTGACCAGCCCACAGCAAGTGTGTGTGTGTGATTGGTTCATCAGGGCTGGCCTCTGTATTTTTATTGGTTGTTATTATATGTCCATGCTTAATGTGAGCAAATGTATTCTCATCTTTGAAAGACGCGTTTATCCATGATGCCACCAGGATTAAAACAAACTGTTTCTAAACAGTGATGCAAAACAGAAAAATACAAATAAAATATTTTGTATTAAATAAACTGTACTTGTTTACTTTTTTATAAAATTTCATACAAGACACTATTTAATAAGTCTCTCGTCATAAAGCTAGAACTTATTCCCACAACAGAAAAACACCAAACTGCATTTCACCACAAAAGAATTGATTTAAAACTATCACACAGCAGGGACACCTGATAAAGCTCTCTCACACCCTGATCAGTAAAAGAGAGGTTTCGGAGACCTGATCGCTCCTGCAGGAAGTGTTCCAGGTGAAAACTGAGCATGCGGTCAGGTGTTCACCCTCACCCTCATCTCCCTGAGGGCCACCCGCCGCTCCTGTAAGCTTAACCTGTGATTGAGATCTTTCTGAAATCGCCCTCGCTGTGATGACGTCACGTGACCCGCTCTGTCAACCTAGAAATACAAAGAACGGTTTATATTAGATAACTTCATTTCTACTACATTTGATTCCTCGTAGGCTTCTGCTTTAGAGATGTCCGTGAAAAGCAGAACAATCAATTCTCATACCTTATTTCATCACTGCTAGTCATCCACTGCTATGGTAACAGAGACCCCCTCAGGTGAGACTGATGGCAGCACAGAGAGAGACAGACACATGGCTCAAATCAGAATCTGCTATCAGGTTATGCAGCCCAGGTTTGGCCTCAAGGGGGCAGTATAAACTTGCAGTCTAAACCTCCTTTTTCCAAAATTACTAAATAAATAATGTTTGTATTACAATAAAAGATTCCATGCATTTTTCTGCTTGACTGCCAGTTACTTCTGAGAATTTTAAAAATGACTATTCCGAGTGCTATTTGGAGTTTGTTTTGCATCAGTAGGGGAATTTTAGAGTAAGTGTGTTCGTAATCCTACTCTTTGTGATAGCACACTTAAGTTAATGACAGAAGCAGAGAGGAGATCACCTTCAGAGACGGCGTGAGAACTGGGATAAATTCGGTCTCCTTCTGAATAAAAGATTTACCAAACCATTCTGACTACAGCAGTGACAAAATTAGACGAGACTATAATCCGGCAAACTAGGCTCTGATTGATTAACTGGTAAACACAATTGGATGTTGATTGACTTATGAAATATGATTCAGAATATGTGCGTCTTACCCACACTTCCTTCCATGGCACAATGTCCATTTCCATTCATCACTGAAGGACTGTGAGATGACATCTGCCATCTCAAGGGGAAAGACTGTCCATTCCCCTGACTGCGATAGACACAATAAGAAACGGTTGGTAAACATAAGCTATGACATCTGTGTTGTGGCATTAATCACACACATCTTAAATTCTTCTGATTGCTGCCATTTGACTAAACGGGGAAATGCCAGTATTGAACAAGGAAATACGGTATTGAAATTTATCAACACTGGCATTTCAGTCTGACACCTGGAAAATGTTATGGTGGAAATACCAATATGATAAAAGACAGTAACTAGCATTTGGGGTCAGTATAATGTGTTAATGTGTTTCATGTTTCTAAAAAGTATACGTCTATGCTAACCAACATTACATTTTATTTATTCCTGTGATGGCAAAGCTTAATTTCCAGCAGCCTCTACTCATCTTCAGTGCGAAATGATCCTCCAGAAATGCTGATTTGATAATTAAATTGTTCACAAGAATTTCTTATCAATGTTGAAAACAGCTGTGCTGCTATACATATACTTTTTTTTTCTCCAGGATTTTTTGACGAATAGAAAGCAAAACAGCATTTATTTGAAACAGAACTATTTTGTAAGAATATAAATGTTTTCACTGTCATTTTGGACCAATTTAATGTGTCCATGCTGGATAAAGGTAAAATAAATAAATCAGACTGGCCCAAAATTGTAAACAGTAATCTACATGTATTATTATCATCGTGATTATTAATTAGAATTAGGGTTGATTAATCTCGATATTAATCGATTCTCATTTTTACGGAATGATATCGATTCTTAAATCCCAAGAATCGATTAGTGTAGCCTGTTTTCAGTTAATGAACGGAACATTGATGGGCACTTCCCATCCAATATATAGGAATAAGCATTGTGCTTTGGTACTTTTAATATGAAAAAGTCTCAGATTTCAAATTCTGTCCATTGTATTGCAGTATTCAACAATAAATGCCGTTTTGGCGCTGTTTAATGTGGAGTGACAGATCGCTGTAGCACCTCAGTTCAACAGACGCGGCAGCGCGAGGCACACGTGAACTGATCGTCTCCTCCACATTAATACCAGTTTCAGCAGAAAATAAACATGACTAAACATCCGAAGGTAAGTTAAAAGAAAGAGAACAACTTTACAGTCCGTATCCTGTCTCATGTAATCGCTCAATCTGTGTTTCAGCCGAGCAAAGATGTCAATATAAAGTCTTGTAAACAATGTCAGGTAAAGTCACATTTACCTCAGAAAAAACAACGTTATTCGGTGACCATAATCTCATTAGTCAGATAGAAAAATAAACTGTAGAGAGGGGCATTTTGCTAAATATATTCACCAAATAACATATTCATTATAAACTTTACTGTTCTTCAATGTTTAATTTATGTTTGAATAAATCCATCAAGTTATGACGAATTTAAAAAAAACTAATTGAAGTAGAAATATTATTATGTAATTGTAACTTTATCATTTTAAAAACTTCATTAAGTGTAATTTTAACAAATCAGTCAATTTTAACCCCTTCAGTATTATAGTAATGTAGTAACTGACTCATGTATATTTTACAGCATTAGTTGAGAGATTGTTTTTCCTTGAGAAAATTTGCCATGTACTGTACCCTCATATATAGCCTATCCAAAATAATCGATATTGGATCGAATCGAATGGGTAATCGAATCGAAAGCTTGTGAATGAGAATCGAATCGTGAAATTTGTGTCAAAACCCAGCCCTAATTAGAATAAACCATTATTCAGCTAAAATGATTCTGTCAATCTTAAGTGTAAGTTGTTTATGAGTGTCAAGCAACATTAAGTTCTCAGAGTCAGAACAATGAATATTGCGTAATACTGACCTGCTGAATACTGGAAATGGCCAGAGACTCTTGTTCTTTCCAAACACCCGTAAGAAGTTTGCTCTGACACCCACATCAAATGCCTCACTTGCTGGTCCATCCACAAAAAAGGGAACTGACAACCACTCTGACAGAAAGACGGTGAGGATGTTATAACCCCTACAACACCTCATACCAAATATGTGAATATGTGAAATGCAGGTTTTACCAAGAGTAGTTTTGTTGCTGGCGAGAAGCCAGATGTGGAAGAAGAGCAAAAAACAGAGGGTGACCGCAAACATGGCCGACACCAGTGTCAGGAACAAAACATGCAGTTTAACACAACTATCAAACAGTTTGCCCTGAGAGAGAGAGAGAGAGAGGAGTGTAATTCAGGAATATTGCAGTAAGATACTGTGAAACAGAATAAATAAATAATTATTCAAATAATGAGGATCATTGCATAAGTAACAATTCATTATTTTGCTAAAGATAAAACCTTATCACATTTATTTACCGTCACTTCAATCGCATTTATATGTGCACATACTTTTATCCAAAGCGACTTTGCATTGAAGCTATACATTTTATTACAATGCGTGTAAAGTTTTTCAAATATTTGATGCCAAGCGACTGTGGACGTGCCATCTGAGGCTGAGACTAGTCTCTACCATTCAAAGTGCAAGTGAATCTTGCTTAATTAAAAAAAAAAAAAAAAATCACCCACCAGCCACAGTTGGATGAAGGTTGGTGTAACTGTTGCGACAATAAGCAGGCAATACAGCAGTGAGTAGAGCAGGAAGAGCATGAAGAACTTATAGTTGGAGAATCCAATACAGTTATTCAGCCTAAACATGCTCACAACAACACAGCACAAACATACAAAGAAAAGAATAAATGCTACTTTTTAAAAATGACTGTCATTTTGACATTTAACCAAGATATTAAGAGATATTATGTCAATGTACATAGCCATTTTACATCCTGAATGCAATGTTAACTGAATGCCTAAATATCTATTTGACTCCAATAGCCTGCACAGTGGAAAATTAAAGATATTTAAAGGAATATTATACTCACCATTTTACAACATTTTGGGAATTTACTCACCCTCTGACCATCATAAATGTGTTTGTTTCTTCATCAGAACAGGTAGAAATTTAACATTACACCTGCTCACCAAAGGATCCTCTGCAGTAAATGGGTGCCGTCATAATTAAAGTCCAAACAGCTGATAAAAACAATAATTCTCACAACTTAATCATCAATAAATGTCTTGTGAAGTGAAAAGCTGCATGTTGGTAATAAACAAATCCATCCTTAAAAACAAAAACTAATCCATCCGTTTTTTTTTTCTGTTAAAACAGTTGTTTTCGGGTAAAATATGATGGATTTTGTTTTCTTACATTTGCTTTTCACTTCACAAGATGTTAATCGACTGACCTGAGCTGTGTGGATTATGGTGATATTTTTATCAGCTGTTTGGACACTCATTCTGACGGCACCCATTCACTGCAGATGAGCCATTCATGAGCAAGTGATGTACTGCTAAATTTCTCCAAATCTGTTCCAATGGAGAAGCCTACATCTTGGATGGCCTGAGGGTGGGTACATTTTCAGCAAATTTTAATTTTGGGATGAACTATTTCTTTTTAAGTAAGAGTAAGTTATTATACTTATACTGAACAAAATTATAAACGCAACGCTTTTGTTTTTGCCCCCATTTTTCGTGAGCTGAACT